AGTAATGTCTCCTTCTTTAATCCATGTCTCAGTAAGAGCAAGCACATCAATGTCTTGATCAGCCATCAATTCAAGAATGCCAGTTGTTTTGTTAGATACAGATCTCGCATTCAAACTACAAACCCGCAAATTTCTTCTGGGTGGAGTGCAGCTCAAAGCTGATGTCAGTTTAATGGAAATTAAATTACCTGTCTGAGGTGGTTAGCAATAGGACAAATGGCATGAATTGAATCTGTGCTTTCACTCTGATTCCTCCTTTCCTACCTCGTCGTCATTTAAGAATTCCCAGATCCTTTATACTATTGTAAACTGGCCAGGGGAGATTCCGTCTACAATCCTTAAAACTAAAAAGCTCAACACGGGTGTAAACTTTACCAAATGGTATTTTACCAGGATGCATTCCACTAGCATTGTTAATACAGCATATTTGGCTTCCATTTGCACACCTAGCTAATTTACTGTCAGATTCTCCATAATGATTGGCTGCATGGTGGTATCTCACGTAAGGCCTATATGTACTTGGACCAGGGTTTTTAGCGATGTCCATACATGTAGTAATATCCACCATGTGGTCCAAAAGAGGAGGAATGAATATACACATATGTCCCCGCTTTAGCCACTTTGTAACTGGATATTTAGAGCAAGAATTCTTTTGGTAGCGGTAACACATAAAGCCAACTCTGATACACTGATAATGTAGAAAAGAATATTGACTTGTAGTACATGTCGTATAATGGGGTGAAGGCACAGCGGATCCCCCAGATGCACAGCACCACGAACATAGTGGTCTGCAAAGCCAACCGTTTCCCAGCTGTTTAAGGACCTGGGTCCCACCGGTATGTTCACAGGTCTGCATACCTCCAGGTGACGAAAAACCATGGCATTGAGCATCTGGTGAATCCCCCAGCCCCTATCCCATTCAATCTCATGGCTTAATGTACCACAACATGTACTCACCAGCAGTAGCAGAAGTACACACAAGACAGTCACACACAGGCCTACTCCTCTGGTCGCCATGTTAGATTCATAACAAAACAACACAACACCCAAATATTTAAAAGCTAAAAATCATGAATTACTGATAACAAGGTAGCATCAAAAAACACATCCAACAAGATAAAAGATACGGGCATTTAATTACCAGTACAAAATGTAGACTGATGTAAACCGATTAAAATGATTTAAACGTATTAAAAAGACAAAAACACAGATCAAATCCAGAACAAACCAGGCAGCCGAGAAAATCACTATATAAATTTGACAGACATAGACTGTAATTGGATTTTACCATGCAAATTTCATGCTGTTTAATGACACCATTTGCCCAAACAGCCTGTTCGGATGATATTGACGCCCGTTCGGACAGTATTGACATAGTACGATATGCACCTTCAGCGACCTTACATGGCCCAGACAAAACAGGCGGTACTTCATCTGATCATCCTTCCAAGAAAATATTGATAGTTTGGGATAATCAAACTGAATCCCAAAGATAGATATCCATAATTCACCTGCACATGTTACGTACATGATCATGTCAGTCCATTTTTCATGAACATATGTTCATCCCCTTATGCCGCCCACAAGCCAGCCCAATTGAGCACCCCATGCCTCAACCACCGCACTCTGTCTCACTTCATCTGGGTGTCCAGGTGGGTAAATACTACATTGTACTGGGTTGTCCCCTGCCTTATCATCTGGTGCCGCCCCTGTGGATACAATGCAGGCCTCACAGGTACGATGCAGACCACGTGGGTGGCGGGTCTGCTTCGCCGCCCACCTTCCACTTACGTCCTGCCTTGAACCAACCATTATTATTGGGGCATTTAGGCATGCAGTCGACACTACACTCTACTGGGCCACCCTACATAGCCTTTTGGAGAGGCCTCCTGTAAAATACGAAACTGGGTCACACATACTCAATGCAGACAGCAGCTCAAACAACAGCTCCTATCATGACGCTAGGCATCAACCCGGTCGACACGCGAAACTCCCATACCGGGGGCACCTACATGTAGGTGTGAAACAGAGAAGTACATGTACGCTATCCGGTCCTACTCATTCTCTGGAGCTATCCGGGTGAATACAACACTAGACTACGTGCGACCAGCCTACTGTGTGTTATATTCCCTCCACCAGTGACTTTTTATGAAGGCCTACAGTAGATGAGTCCAAGCCTCTTCCGCAGACGTCCCCCCCCTACATGCTTGAGCCCACCTTCATCTGAGACTAGTCCTGCCATGGTGATTACACAATTCGAATCAGTATCCACGCCTCGGCCAGCCAAATTCACTGAACATCGGTGTGGATTTCACACACTCTTTTCATCCTGTAATCCTGGTCTTTTTCAAGGGGTTCCTCAGACAGGAGTTACTCTCATAGGAGCGTGTCCAAAGTCTGTATACTGTGGGAATAGTCCCACAATGACCCATCACATGCAATCTCCGCAGATTTTTCCGCATGGCCTTGCCACGCCCTGCACACTGCCCGGACACAAGTTCCTCTGATGTGGGCGTGTCCAAAGTCTACATACTGTGACTGTTATGAGGTGGGTGTGCCATAGGTCACCTCTTCTCACTGCACCCTGTGTGATTGAAAGGAAGTGGCAAGGCTAGGCCAGGCTAGGCTAGGCTAGGCTAGGCTAGGCTAGGCTAGGCTCTGCATATTTCTCCATGTATTGCTTCTGTTAATTGAGCCAAAGAATAAATTGGTAAAGTGGGATTCCCTTTTGTGTCTACTGAGGCTCCTGCCAAAGATCGTGTAGTGCCACATAGTAGTGCAAGATAGAGAATGTCACCATGAATATGCGTAAACGTTGTAATTGCATGGGCACCATTTGGGTTGGACTACGCCAGTGCAGTGTATGCTAATGCATGGGCGCAGGCTTCACGACAGACACACATACCTGGTATGCCTTTGCTAGTGCCTATGCATTAACGTTCACACATGAATGGCGCTCATGGTGATAAACACATTTTTGGCAGAGTTCTCCCTCTAGTAGCGCTATTCTTTCTTTGGTTCCTTCCCTAAATAGAGCCAGTGATTTCCCGTGATCGCAGAAAACGGCCAGAATTAGCGGAATCAACACTTTGAAACAGGATCCACTGCTTGAAATGGAACTTGCAGAATTTCTAACTAAGAATGGCTTAAAAAGTAAAGACTTTCTGCAAAGTACTACAAATAAATGTCTACCAAACCCTTTAAAATGCTTGCTTTTAAACCTCTTTCTTCCGGGGGACCCATTTTCGAGCACATAGGCTTTATACACGAAGCGAGGGAGCCCGAAACTGGGACAAAAGAGCTGGGCCTTGCAACAAAAACCGTGCTCGGCACAAAAGACTGAGCTGCTGGGCATTACTGACATTTTTTCACCCTCAGTAGTGGAGATAATCCAGCCTTGTTTTTAAACAGTATACCACAGTTTGGGGCATTTAGGGCAAGCGGATTACCACTGGGGGCAAAAGCGCTCCACCATTGCAGTGATGAGCCACACAGCACCGCCACACGCTAATCTGGCCCCTGTTGAAAAGAGGTCAGCAGCACACTGTGCCAGGTTCGTAAACAAAAGAAAGTTATATAACTAGGCTCTTTTTACAAGTCTGCAGGCATGGCTGAAATATTCAGGAGCCAATGAAGGTTACCTGTCAGCTTGGAGTAGCCACCAAAGAGTTCTTTGTGTGGGTATAAACTTCCATTAGAAAATCTTGAAAATGTCCCGTTTGTGTGTTGTGCATTTTTCAAAGCACCCGGCAGCAAGTGGTCAATGAATGAATTATGCTGGAAAATTGCTAAATTGCACCACTCCACCACATGATTGGGTTGTCCGTGCCAGTATCGATACTTGCAAGCTCTTTGGCGTGTGTGAGCCCCATGCGTGTAGCGGCAGCCAGCACAGTGTAGCAACACTGTATGGCACACACTTTGGCTGTACACATGTGCACTGTACTAGCATTGAAATTAAGGCACAAACAAGTTCATGCTCACACGTATGCCTATTGCACACGTCAGGAATTCAGTGTGTGAATCCGCCTTGAGACAAGGCTAGTTTGCCGCCAATAACTCCTTGCTCAATTAAGATGAGGTCAAACCATCTTTATCTGGGGTACATAGAATTTTTCTTTATGGTGTCCGATTAATTCGATCTCTGTCTCTAATCCACTTGCTGCTGGGTGCTTTTTTTAACTGTTATATGCGCTGCCTGGCCGTTTTTTCATATTTTTGTTTTTCAAAATCTTTAAAAATTCACATCTTTTTTTCTGAACACGTTGTGAGTCTAGCCTCACAAGCACTCTCCATTTCCCCTCAGTTCAGCAGCCACACCACCTGCTCTGTATAGAGTCTCCAATGTGAAGTGTGGCATAATGCTTCTTTTCTTCCGGGCCGTGGCCCAGCGCATTGCTATACTGCCCTGTTGCTAAGCAGAGTGATTGAACATCAAGACTCCAGCGTGTAATATGCGGTGAGTGAATTCGAAGCTGTGC